TCATGTACTTAAATCGGATTCAGAACTCTGAATCCGATTAGAACTGTCTTTCAACAACTAACGGCAACTAACTTGTCTTTTAAAAGCTGCTGTACTTTCTTATAATAAGACACAAATGAACAAATGATCAAGCTTAGTAAAGAACAAGTTCGAAGATTGAAAGATAGTTTTGGAGCGATGCTAAATTATCTACATTTTAGAAATAGTTATATTTGGGTGTAAGGAGAGAAGGAGAAGGAGAAAACATCAAATTTCATCATTTCATCATTCTGGACACTTGTTAATTGTTAAGTTTAGGCAAAAAGAAAGGGAAAAATTAAAGATAAATAGAAAATTTTCTAAAATTACAATATTTAAAACAAAAAGATGCAGAACGGATCATACAATCATCCGTTTTTTTTGAAGCATGGCGAAAGTCGAGCATGATGCAGAATGCAGAATCACAAATGATGCTGAATCTTTTTATATAACTATAGCTATAACTATTTTTTAGATAACTAAAGAAATCTAATAAATTATTGATATCTACAAATCCCAAATATCTTTCGACATCTTTTTTCAGATGATTTCTGATGACTTCTGATGATTTCTGATGATTTCTGATGATTTCTGATGATTTCTGATGATTTCTGATGATTTCTGATGATTTCTGATGATTTCAGATGATTTCTGATGATTTCAGATGATTTCTGATGATTTCTGATGATTTCTGATGATTTCTGATGATTTCTGATGATTTCTGATTTCAAATAGTTCAAAACAAAGTATCAAAGTACTTTTAAAAAGGTTTGACTCAAATTGTTTGGTATTTTGTTTTTTAAAGCTCAACTTTTAAAGCTTTAAAGCTAAAGTCGTTAAAATAAGTGAGGTCAAAAGTAGAGGAAAAGGAGAAAAAAAGGCGATAATGCCCACGAGATTGCTATTGCTTATTGCTTTGAGAATAAAATTTTTGGAGAAATGGGAAGAAAGGCCGATGACACGCACAGATAGACCTTTCTGCTTACTCACACCCACAAAAAGATTTGAAACGCCATTAGAAACGCTATTTGAAACGCCATTTGAAACGCCATTTGAAACGATTTTCAAAACAACACATTTCAAAACAACACATTATCTGGAGAAATTGTTGAACGATAAATGCTAGAGTTTAAGAATGAAAACTTTCAAGTATAATCTTCAATTAGAAACAGTTTTTATGGATACACTTTTCCTAACAACATGGTACTTATTGTACTTTTCAGCACTGGCCAAACCATCTATAGCAACGTCTCAACAAAGGTAACTGTTTTTTTGCAAGATTTATATTGTTAGTAAACCTTGTAACCAGCTACAAACAACTTGAACTACTTCAACTTCAACTTCAACTTCAACTTCAACTTCATCTTCAACTACAACTTCAACTTCATCTTCAACTTCAACTTCATCTTCATCTTCAACTTCAACTTCATCTTCAACTTCATCTTCATCTTCAACTTCAACTTCATCTTCAACTTCATCTTCAACTTCAACTTCATCTTCATCTTCAACTTCATCTTCAACTACCAAAGCATGAAACAAGTGTATCACCAAACCATTTTTAGCATCAATCCAAGATTTATTTAAAGGACAGATAAAGAGTATTTTTTTTGAAGATCTGCCTTGTTGGATGAGGCAATGATTTTGCTAGATAGATCCCATGTAGCAAGAAAAGTCAGTGCGTGGCTTGGTCACTCCGGGGGAAGCTGTTGCTGTTTGCTGTGTTATTCACCACCAGCATCGCTCGATACTTGTTGTCCTCCTTCACGCGTATTCCTCGCTAAAAATGAAAAATATTATCAAAAATGAATAAGAAATGAAAATAAATAGCTTAATAATAAAATAACTAAAATAAGATAAAGTAATAAGTGAAAAGATCTCACCGAGCATCTCCATTTCCGGCAGTCGATCCTCCGCAATAGGGTCAAACTTCCATGTAGGCCGATTTGTCTCCCATGATGGATGAAGTTGAGATGTGTAGAGATTGGTCTAATGATTTGTCACAAGAAAACTTTTTCTTTTATTTGACCGTTAAATGCAAATTTTTAGACGATTTAGACAATAGGCAAATGTAAATGGAAATGACGATAAAAAAATAAACAACTTAATAATAATAATAAAGTAATCAAAATAAGTCAAAAGGACAAAAGGACAAAAGTCAAAAGAACAAAACAACAAGTCAAAAGATCTCACCGAGCATCTCCATTTCCGGCAGTCGATCCTCCGCAATAGGGTCAAACTTCCATGTAGGTCGACTTGTCTCCCATAATTTTTTTTTCTCCCACAAGTTGCGATGTGGAGAGATTGGTCAACTGTTGATTTGCCAGAAAAAAAAGGGGTTTCTTTTATTTAACTGTTAAATGTAAATTTTGGTGGATCTAGACAATATGCAAACCTTGGTAGATCTAGACGTTGGCACTGCGGAGTTTCCACGGAGTGCGGCACTGCGGAGTTTCCACGGAGTGCGGCACTGCGGAGTTTCCACGGGCACTGCGGACTTTAAAAGCTTTCCACGTTTTATCAAATCTATTAGTCGAATGGAACAAATGCAGGTGCTGAAACTCTAAAAGATACACCTAGAGATACACCTAAATACACCTAAAAGCTATCCTACTCCGTTTGTATTAAGATTACAATAGTACGATCATTATTGAAGTTACATTGTAGAAAACTCTAGAAGTAGTACCCAGAAGTAGTACCCAAAAGTTTCTTCCATTCCGAATCAAAATCCAATTCATTTTCTGACTAATTTTATGTTTTCTGTGCTTGTTACAGAATGATGTTACCCCAAATGATCTAATTGGAAAAGAAAAAAAAAAGATCGACGTAGAGAAGGAGCCGGTAAAACCCTGTCCAAACAGTGCAAATCTCTCTCGCATTGCCTCTTTACTCAAAAAGAAAAAAAATGAAGAAAGAGAAGGAAAATGAAAAGCAGTGAAGATGGGCTAAAGTTGAAATAAGGCAAACAATGGACAGACGGTTGGGAGAGAAATGGAAAAATGAAGGATGAGGTAGTTGGAGGACCCCATTAGATACAACCACATCATCTCTTTGGCTTTCATTTTAACCTTATCCTTTAGCCAACTTTTAAATCTTTTTTCATACATTCATTTGTTGACTTACAAATAGTAGAAATGTTTATTTTATATTTTATTGAATATCTTTAAAGAGCTCTCTCAGCTGAGTTAAAGCTAAAAAGTAGAAATGCGCTTTCTGAATTGATTGACTTGATCCGATAGACTTTATTCATAAAATAAAGTGACCAATGTGAGCTCTCTCAGTTAAAGCTCTCTCAGTTAAAGCTAAAGGTTAACAGAAAGCTACAGAATTTCCAAATTGCAACAAATGCAACAAATGCAACAAACTCAACTCTAGAAAATTACTTTGAGTCACTTTATGAGAGCTGTGGCTTCTTCCTCCACAAAGCGATATATTCACCAATTCATCAATGAATCTTAACTTCAATTTTCTCTAGTTGATATCTAAGAATCGATTGTTTGCCCATTGTTTGCCTTATACCGTATTCTCTCTAATAGTAGTGCGCACTACTATTTTTTTGAACCCCCTCCTGGACCGCAATACTATTAGAGAGTGCACTACTATTAAAGAGTGCACTACTATTAGAGAGAATACGGTAATACATCTAATACACATCCTGGCATCTAATAATCGATTTAAGATGAGCTTTTGATGTACTTAACTTACATAACAGAGCTACATAACTTCAAACAACTCTGTAACTAATTCAGTCAATTCTATGATTTGATATAATTCTATCATTTTTTTTTCTGTTTTTCTGTTTTTCATTATCATTATTATCATATTATCATTTGCTTTCTTGTATGATTTCTTAAATTTCATTCTTCTACTATGTAATTCATTGGTCATTTATTCATTGATCACTTTACTTCATGAATAAATTCTATATATAGATTTGGATCAAGTCAATCAAGTCAGAAAAAGTGATTGGGTAAATGAACCAATTTTCCAAACCAATCACTCTGCTCCGTTTGTAGCTTAGCTTAAAGAGCTTAATAGCTTAGCTTAAAAAGCTTAATAGCTTAGCTTAAAGAGCTTAATAGCTTAGCTTAAAGAGCTTAATAGCTTAGCTTAAAATGCTTAATAGCTTAGCTTAAAGAGCTTAATAGCTTAGCTTAAAATGCTTAATAGCTTAGCTTAAAATGCTTAATAGCTTAAAAAGATTATTCTAAAGATCTTTCGAATTCTAAAGATAAAAAAAAGATCTTTCGAAATCGATCTGTGCTTTGTGCATTGAAATGATTTTTTTTGCGTTCCCGAAATTTCTCCTCGTTTAATCCGAAATGTTAACAAGACTTACTGTCTGGAGTTTTCAACGAAGAAAATGAATTAACTCAATTGAAAACCTTCAATCAAATAGGTTTTTTTTAAACCATAAACATTTTCAAGAACCTCTCCTCATCCCTTTCCTTTCCTCATCCCACTCATAAATGCATCAATGAGGCTCGTGTCACCCAGAAATCTTCACTTCTCAAAGTGAAGATTCCTGGATCTCAAGAACGAAAAAAAAAGATTGTTAAAACTAGATTTAAAACTAGATTTTATTCTTATTACCTAATTCTATGAGCTAAAAGATACTCAACTAAGCTAAATGTTTAGCTAATGAACCTTTTGAAGCTAATGAAGCTAATGAACCTTTTGAAGCTAATGAACCTAATGAACCTAATGCTAATGAACCTTTTGGAGCTAATGAAGCTAATGAACCTTTTGAAGCTAATGAAGCTAATGAACCTAATGAACTAATGAACCTTTTGAAGCTAATGAAGCTAATGAACTAATGAACCTTTTCCAATCTCGATCGATCGTTTCATTGAAACCACATGTCCCCTTTTCTATTTACTTCTTTTTTTGCTCGCTTCTTTGCCAATTTCAAAATTTTGCAGATAATGGATATTCGATTATTTCTCCTTAATCTCTATTCTTTATTTCATTTTGTTGATTCCTTGATGAAGCAGCCGAAAGAAGTTGGAGTGACAGGTGAGTGGTGAGCGGCAAAAAAGAGCCGATTTTCATCGATTTTCACCGATTTTTTTTCTAAGCGCTGGTTAATGCTAAAGATATGTATTATATCTAAAAAAATACCCATTCTCTCTACTTTAATTTGATACCAAAACAAGTAAAAACAAACGTACTGGTGTCGAGATATGAGCGTTTCTTTGAGACTAAATTTACTAGGGAACGATCAGATTTCGCAAGCGTGAATCCGAACTAAAGCTATATGACGGTCGGAGTCGGACACGGGCAACACGATGGCGTTTTTAGTTTTTGCCCAAACTAGCAACAAAGCTCACAAAAAAAACCCGAATAGAACTCTATTTGGGTTCTATAGAACAAACTCGAATAGAACCCAAACAGAACCCAAACAGAACCCAAATAGAACCCAAATAGAACCCAAACAGAACCCAAATAGAACCCAAATAGAACCCAAACAGAACCCAAACAGAACCCAAACAGAACCCAAACAGAACCCAAACAGAACCCAAACAGAACCCAAATAGAACCCAAAACTTTTACAGCTTAGCCAATTTACTGTAAAAACTCGAAACTCGAATAGAACTCGAATAGAACCCTATTTGGGTTTTATTCGAGTCTGTTCTATAGAGCCCAAATAGAGTTCTATTCGAGTTTCGAGTTTTTACAGTAAAATGGCTAAGCTGCAAAAGTTTTGTACCGGCTACAGTATGGCGGAATGATCCTATGTATTGTATTGAATATTGTTCAAGTCTTAGATAATGTAGGTTACAGTTAGGCTTCTGATACTATTTTCTGGTTTCTGGTTAGATAATCTGGTAGGATCAACTTTAAAACTAAGCTTGATATAGTCAAATAGGCAGATTCAATAGAGAGCCGAGTGTCACTCGCGCACCTCTCTCAACGTATGTAATCTTAGATAATCTAGGTATCTCGTCCCAGGTACAATATCTCGTCCCTGTACCGGTAAAGCTACCGTACTCTAGTCATTTTTTGGATCTCAGCGAGTTCTCGGAGCTAAGGGACACCCGTTTGGTGTTGTGCTTGCGCCCCCCAGAGGAGCATCCTGGCAAATTTTCAGGTCGATCTCGTGTCTGGAATTTGAGATCTGACAAGTCGATTTCGAGATTTTTTTGACATAGCCTAAAACGTCGAGATAGGAATAGCTGTAGCGAGTCATTGTAGCAAGTCTAGATATCTTAGTTTACCTAAATCGTATCTCGAAGGATAACACAGACAAATGTGAGTAACTTTACTTTAATAGTAAGCCTTGTGTTCTTGTTCTTGTTCTTCCAATCTTCTACCAAAAATCAATGATTTCTCAGGTCGATTATGGTGTCACGTGGGTACAAAGAAAGACTACACTCCTCAACAATGTGAAGCCGGTGTCGAAGAGTGTTTTATGTTTCAGTGTAGTGGAGGACAACGTAGGTTTTTTTTTTTTGATAGAAAAATGCTGAAAAATTGAGAAATTGCTGACAAATTTCCTTATCAGCAGGCACTATCGTATTTCGAAGGATAAAAAATAGTGAGACTTTTGGGTTTTGGGGTTTTTATCGTTGTATTTTACTTAAAACTTTTCATTTCTCTTTTCATTTCATTTCATTTCGCACAACTTTCTTTTTTTTTGTTGTCAACAAGTCTTTTTATAAGATAAAGATTACAAAAAAAGAGCTAAAATAAAATATTCGATACGTCGTGTTTCCAGATGATTTCTACGTGCGTGGCTGTGGCGTTTCAATTCTAACAAAAGCGACCGGCTTGCAGAATGAAAGCTGTTTTCAGGTTTGAAAATAACAGCTAATAAATACCGTAAATACTGTAATAGTACCGCACCCCCATAGCTAGACTACGCAACGCGGAGCGTTGTGTAGTCTAGCTTTGAACGAGTTTTTCTCGACATTGGTTTATGCTGCAATGCGCGCTTAGGTATCAAAAAATAGCTGAAATTCAGGGCTATTTTTTGATACCTAAGCGCGCATTGTGGCATAAACCAGTGTCGAGAAAAACGCGTTCAAAGCTAGACTACGCAACACTCCGCACCGTCATTATCTTTGGTTTCAAAAAATAGCCCTGAATTTCAGCTATTTTTTGATACCAAAGACGTATTTTTTGAAAGTACGGGCGCTTTGAAAAAAATGAAATACTACAAAAACCTTTGCGACTACGCGACTGTACGGGCGGGGTGGGGTACTATTACAGTATTTACGGTAGCTATAACAGCTATAACAGCTATAAACAGCTATAAACAGCTATAAATAGCTAAGAAAACTGTTTGAATCTAATTCTTCAAATAGGCTTGTAAAAATTAACCCTAACTAAACGAACATTTGATCACCAAGCACACATTGTGGCTTAAAGCACCGCAAGACGTTCAGAGTTAGACTACACGACTGTACGCAGTCATTCTATGGCGTTCTAGAGTATTTACGGTATCTACAAATCGATCTACTTATCTACATAAGTAGTTTAAGTTTAAGTTTAAGTATTCTTTTTAAAAATCTCTTAACATTTAAGCGATCTAGCTTCAAGTAGTCCAGAAAAGTCCTTCTTTTAGCATAAAGCTTTACTGTTCTTGTTAGTCTTATCTATTCCATTCGTGTACTTACTCTACTACTGTAGAGTAAGTACACTTACTCTACTACTGTAGAGTAAGTACAACTATACTCTACTGTAGAGTAAGTACAACTGTACTCTACTGTAGAGTAAGTACAACTGTACTCTACTGTAGAGTAAGTACAACTGTACTCTAAAACCTGGTACCCTGGTGACAGTGACTTTAAGGTATAAATTTCATATTTTTATATGCACACATCAACTTTCTAGGCACAAGGTGTTTGCCAATATCTTGGAGGCGAAAGCGACTGCGAGACTTGTCACAAAAGACACATGTGCAACACGACAAACTCCTCAAATTTCTCTCTATTATCTATCTTTTCTTTACTTCTTTTTCTATTCACATAAAGAAGTAAAAGTTCTTATGTAAATTTCAATGATCTCTTTTGTAGAAGTTAGAGATTTATCTTTATTTCAAAGTGTTAGTTTCAAAGTGTTGCTTTTTTTGTAGCCTTTCTTATCAGCCACTTCAATACCGGTATCGTCTTTTTTTTTCTCTGATAACGACTACATTTTATGTGTGTATAAATATGTAGTTCAAAAAGTACTTTATTAAATAAAACTTAAGACTATTCAATCGGCAATCAGTTTAGGCAATTTTTGAATGATTACGATAGTTCTTTTCCTGGCAACCTTATCGTTAGCCAAATCCTTTTCTTTAGATTTTTATTACCAGTATCACAATATTATCTATCACATTTCTAAAATAAGTGCATTTTTGAGTATTTTCAAAGCCTTTTTTTTACAATCGACAATCTTTCTCGAGCTCCTGATTAAAGGCCGCCATTTGGTCGATGCTAAAATTTCTGGAGATTTCTAGAGATTAAGTATTTGATTTCCAAGTCTAAATGTGTTCAATTATCTAAAAAAAGTGGTTAAGAAATACATCGTAATACACAATAAATAAATAAATAAATAAATAACTGACTCCTCATATTTGGGTGGTGGTGAACGGGTGGGATCACGGGAATGGGTGATCATTTGATAGCTCGCATAGTCGGGCGGGGAATCGAAGAGTACCACTGAAAATATTAGGCTTTCAAGAAAGTCTTTTCGTTTCCTTTTTATACTTTCGTTGAAAAATTCACAAATTCACCAATTCACCTACGGTTTTCACTGAATAAAAAGTGTTTATTGTTTAATTTCCAATCTTTTTAAACCAATTTGGGGTCACTTTCAAACAAATTCGAAAGGAAAAACACGTTTTTTGTAAAAAAAAATCTATAAAACCCTTTACGAAATTGGGTGAATCAATTTCTCTAAAGATTTGGCTATATACCAAACTTTTTGTGCTCTTTCTTTTATCTAATGACACGAAGATAGGTTTCCTTAGCTAAAGTGTCTAAACCAGATCGTCGAGCCTGTGCCAGGACAGAGATAACCAGACCATAGAGCGATAGACAAGAGCCAGGTATGAGCTTCATTTCTAGCGAATCCAGGAATTGAGTCATGTCTGTACTAAAGCCTGGCCTAGATTCTGGCCTTCTTTGCTCAAAAATGGCCCTGGGTTGGCATTGGGTTGGCATTGAAAAAACCAGGTCAATCCAGGCTAGGGACCTGGTCCTTGACCCAATTTGTCAAATCCCTAACCAGTACTCACTTTCATTGACGAGTGGAGGACTTGGTGTGGTCTGTCCACGGATTGCCGGCAAGATTGGTTGTGGATCTAGAATTCGAGAATTTCAGAAGAAAAATGAATTTTACCAGATCTTCTTCTCAACGGAATCGTTCCGATTTGGATGGGAATCTGAATTTTTACATTTTAAAAGACACTTAAACTACGGCAGCTTTTTCTGAAGAGAGTAAATTTTTGAGGAAAACATTTTTATTTGAGTCTTTCAAAAACCCACTAAAACTTTTCCGAAAGCTGCCGCTCGTCGATTTCTCTCGAAACCAATCGTCAATTGCAGAAAGTATTCAACGATCAAGAAGTTGTCAATCTAAAAGTTTAGATATAAAGATAGCTTTAGATTTTCTTTGTTAGAATTCTAAATATCAATATTTTCTCACCGATGTGGCTAGGGGTAGAGCTGGTACATGAAAATGACCCTTCGTCTGATAAGTCTGCGAGGCGCCGGAGATCACTTTATCGATCGGCATTGGGAGGCCTGAAAGGGAAATTTCATAATTAGTTTTAAAAAATAAATTTAGAATACAGTAGACCATTTGGTAGCCATCTGGGCTTACGCTAGCTTTCTTCGAGATTACAATGGTTTACTGAGCTTACGATAATTGACAAGGGAAGGTAGTAGGGTAGCTTTTTTTACAGGATTACGATAGTTTACTGGACTATATAGCTTTCTACGGAGACTATGGTAGCCGTATTACGGTACTTTAATTTCTTGCTAACCAACCCGGTGTCTCGTATCTCGTCTCTTTCGTCGCTACGTGCGGATTCTCCGAAAAGCAATAATGGTTTTGTAAGATGTTCATCGTGCAATATTTGACCGATTTCTTAGATCTGAAAATGTTAAATAAATAATAGCTATGATAGTCAATTTGTATTGAAGTTCTGGGTAATATTTTCATATAAAAACTTATTCAATTCGTTTTCAAGCTCACCGATTTTCGAGGGTTATCTCCGCGTCGATTGTCTCCCCAGGGGTGAAGGCAGATTTTGGGAGTTTCATCGTCACATCCACGTAGTTATTTCTAAAACGCCGTCTATATAAAATATATATAAGCAATTCAATTTAAGTCTTGTCTAACATTTGAAAGATCTGTCGCTGGATGCGAAAGCGTGGGGTTACGGTAAATTAATATCTTGACGAATATCTTTTGTTCTATGGTTATGCCTTAATTATATAATTTGCGCAAAGCCCTAAGAGCTAAGAGCCCTGTATCTTAGTCGGAAGGTCAAGGGTTCAATCCCACCGGCTAGATTTCTTCTTTTTCCCATATATATAGATGGGGTTTTCCCTACATTTAGGGCTTAGGAGTTGTGTATTGTGCTTGTGTATTGTTTATATCACATTATGAATAAATGTAGTTTTTTTAAAAAAACCGACTGTGCAAAAGGGAAACGTTTCTTTTCTTCAACAGCCAGATGAACCCTCGGCATCTCGTTCAAATCCATATCGATTACAACCGGGAACAACACTTTGCGCTTCAAAAGTTGCCGGGTCTCGTATAAGCAAGTAACCTGAAACTCGAAAATACTTAAAACGGCAATTATATCAGACTTATCAGCTTGTGCTTTGTACTCAAACACTAGCTTGTTAAATTAAACCTAGCTTTTTAAGTGGACTTTGTGCTTAAAAATCAAAACACACCTGATGTACTCAATTTCTCAAATTTCTTTTAAAGACGATTAGCTTTCTCGAGAAAAACATAAAGAAATCAGTGCAGGGTGTGTTTCGATTTTTTAGCACAAAGTACAAGCTAGATTTAACCAATCTCACCTCGATCCAATACTGGACACTGCCCGGCGATTGCTTGGACTCAAACGTCGAGAGTAGGCCGCTTTTGGGTAAATCGATGTGGAAAGGAAGCTCGTGGTGACCTGAATAATTAAATTTTCGAAAAAATTGAGACAAGATTACGATAGTTTTCGTAAGTTAACACACCTTAGAAAACGGATTAGACAAAAGTCTTTACCTTTCTCAAGTCCGGGCACCTCAGCATTACTTTGTAATTTTGTTCGGATCGCGGTGGGGCGTGCGAAAACGACGATTTGTTCTAGCTGGAAATTAGTGTTTTTCAGCTGCAATTTATTATAAAAAAAAATAACTGAACAGTAGGCCATAGGTGTACAAAGTACTTTTGACTATAACTTTTCATCGATTTATCTAATTTGTATGACTTTGATGTCATTCGAAATGTTCTCCCGCATCTTCGAACGATACTAAAATCTATGAAAATCTATTAAAAACTATTTAAAAGCCATGAAAATCTATGAAAGATTGGTTATGGAAAGTCATAGCCAAAAGTACTTTGTATAACTAGAGATGTTTTGGGGTTAATTTTTCAAAATCTAAATAGCGTAAATACTCTAATAGAATGCCACCTTCTCGTACAACCGCGTAGTCTAACTTCGTTTTAGAAAATAATTTTTTCCTTAGCATCTAGCTTTTTCCCAACTACACTTTTGATATCAAAAAATACTAGATTTCAAGGGCTATCATTTGACACTCAAGTGCACACTGTAACATAAAGCAGCGAGGAGAACGGGACGTTCAAAGACAAGACTACAATTGTACCCCCCTTGTCATTTTGAGATCATTTTGACACTCAAGCGCACACCGTAACATAAAGCAGCGAGGAGAACGGGACGTTCAAAGCTAGACTACAATTGTACGCTTGTCATTATGGGAGTGGCGTTTTATTAGAGTATTTAAGGCATATGATCGTTTTCAAGTCATCAAAACTTACAGTTGGCTCTTGTTTTCCCATACTCGGATCTTTCTTCCAAACGCATTCCGATCGATCGACGAGGATTCTCTTCTTCTCAAAAGCGGTCGCCTGCCGGAGTGACATGGCGGATACCTAAGCCAATAAGATTTAACATAACTTTTGCAAAAACTCAACTCTTACCTTCTCTTCCAACCAATAAACCCGAAGTTGCCCAAGAAGTTTCACCTCAATGTAATCGCATGTGAAAAATTTGCCCAAATCAAGATAAATCTGAAAAAATTTGAATGTAAATCAAAATCAAAATATCTAGCTTGTTCGAAATTTCTTGAGAAAAAAAACCCACTTTTCCAGTGACCGAGTCGCCGGGTCGATAGATATTCTGATCGAGGATTATTTGCGCTTTGTGCAATTGCGAATTCATCGCTCTGAAAATAGATATTCAGTTGTAAATAAAAAATAAACATAAATGAAAATAAAATATTCGATTGCAAGAGTGAAATACGATCTATGACGTCATCTTTTTCGAGAAACGAAGAAAAAAAGACAGAGTGAAAGGCCATAAAATCTTGAGAAAAGGGACAAAAGGGGAAAGTTGAATGAAAACTTTTGATTTTGAAATATAAAATCTAGTCAATGAATAATTTATAAAGAAATTGTAATGCAAAATATAAAATTTTTAGAAAAAAAGCTAAAGTTTATGTCCAAACCGGGGGGTGGGACAAATGCGACCTTTTTTTGCGCACCTGGACATTTGCGCACCTTTTTTTGCTGGAAAAGGCATTAGGAAAGGTCGTAGAGCTTCGAAAATATTTCCATATAAGGGAATCGTATGCGTAGATTCCGAATTTCGACAAATCAGACCTCGTTGACACGTCAAATTTGGGCTAAAAGGCAAAAACTACGCAACTGAACGCTTTTCCGCAGTTTTTGCCTTTTAGCCCAAATTTGACGTGTCAGCGAGGTCTGATTTGTCGAAATTCGGAATCTGCGCATGCGATTCCCTCATATGGAAATATTTTCGAAGCTCTACGGCCTTTCCTAAGGCCTTTTCCAGCAAAAAAAAAGGTGCGTAAATGTCCAGGTGCGCAAAAAAAGATCGCATTTGTTTGTCCCACCCCCCCCTCCCCCAAACCGTCGTTTTTTACATTTTAAAAGCATTCAGTTATCTAATAACAAAAGAAAACATTGGTAATTTAGCTTTTTTTCCTATTTCAAAACCGCAAAACACAAAATGAAAACAAGATTATCATTGTAAATACCAATCTTTCAAAAAGAACCAAAAACCGATTTTTCATCGCTGAAACGAGTAAAAATATTTGGTTTTTCAGCTGAAAAGTGATAACAAGCAAAAAAGGAAAAGAATAAAAGACTTTAAACGAATGAAAGAATGAAAGAATGACACAAAAATGCAAAAGGCAAAAAGGAAAAAGGAAAAAGAAAACACGTGAAAAATGATGTGATTTTCTGTCTGTAAAATCGAGAAAGAAATTCCTTTTTTTACAAAGATAAATAATTCAGAATGCGACCTTAATCTTTCCTTCACTTTTTGCCCGTTCTACTTACCGTAAATACTGTAATAGTACCCCACCGCCCTCGTACAGTCGCGTAGTCGCAAAAGTTTTTTAGTATTTCATTTTTTTCAAAGCGCCCGTACTTTCAAAAATACGTCTTTGGTATCAAAAAATAGCTGAAATTCAGGGCTATTTTTTGATACCAAAGATAATGACGGTGCGGAGTGTTACGTAGTCTAACTTTGAACGCGTTTTTCTCGACACTGGTTTATGCTACAATGCGCGCTTAGGTATCAAAAAATAGCCCTGAATTTCAGCTATTTTTTGATACCTAAGCGCGCATTGTAGCATAAACCAGTGTCGTGAAAAACTCGTTCAAAGCTAGACTACGCAACGCTCCGCACCGTCATTATGGGGGTGGGGGCGTCATCTGTAACTTTACATCAATTCTTGGGAAATCATAAAGTTTTACCTGTAAGTACACGGTGGCTATTAAGTATGTACATACCGTAAACACTGTAATAGTACCCCACCGCCCTCGTACAGTCGCGTAGTCGCAAAAGTTTTTTAGTATTTCATTTTTTTCAAAGCGCCCGTACTTTCAAAAAATACGTCTTTGGTATCAAAAAATAGCTGAAATTCAGGGCTATTTTTTGATACCTAAGCGCGCATTGCAGCATAAACCAGTGTCGAGAAAAACTCGTTCAAAGCTAGACTACGTAACACTCCGCACCGTCATTATAAGGGTGGGGTACTATTACAGTATTTACGGTATTTTTAATCGATTCAAATCGTTTTCTTTTTCGTTTTACAATTAGTTTAGCAAGTTGTAGAATTTGTGGGGAAAAAAAAGGCAAATCAAGGGTCAAGGGTAACAAAAAAAAGGCAAAAACGCAATATAGCCAAATTAAAAGCAAAAATTGACCCCAAGAATTGAATTTGAGCATAATGACGCGCAAAACAGCAAAAATAGCATTTGATAGAGCACAAAGAGCACAAAGAGCACATTTGATAGAGCACAAATCTTCGAGCAGTGTTGCTTATAAAAATAATGTTATAAAATGAAAGAAATATAAAAGGAAATCTAAATTTTAACCGAAAATTTGGAATTTAATTGGAAAAACGTGTCGTTATAGTAGTTGAAAAACAAAAAAAAATCGAAGGTCTTTTCTGGGTTTTCTCTCTCAGCAAACACTCGTTTTTGATCTTTTTTTCTCTCGAAATTCTCTCAAAATTCCCCCTTTTTTTCTTCACGATTGAGTGTTCTCTGCTCCTTTGCGCTCAAAAAAAAGGATTGCCCATTATATTTCTCGATTTTGGCGATGATTTCGAAATGACTCAGCAAATTGCGAATGTAAAATTTGACAAGTTTCAAATGTAAAAGTGTAATCTCGACACTTTTTGAGAGAAAAACTAAATAGTAAGCTAAAATTGATCCGTTTTTTTACAAAGAGAATAATATAAAGGTTTTTAGTTGAAGAATTTGATTTGATTAGTTTAAAATCGAGTTTTAAAAAAGGCTTACATTCAAATCTAGGAATTTTTTAAGTTAAAAAACAAAAATAACAGCAAAAATAATAACAAAAATAACAAAAATAACAAAATAAACAAAATAACAAATAAAAATAACTAATAACAGCCATCTCTGAACTTGTACTTTGTGGTTTCGCAAAGGCTTGGCTTCTGGAAGAGAAGGAATAGAATAATAAACCACCAATTCATCGACACTAGGGTCAGGTTTGTACTGGGTGCCAAAAAACTGAAAAGGAACTGAAGGCAGCTTTTCTAGACACTGGTCGTTGTCGTCTCGGCGCAGTCGGGGAACCGTTTGTCTATAGCCCTCACGATCCGGGTAAGATCTCGCGAGATCGTACCTGGATCGTGAAAAAACTAGGATTGAGTCGATCATAAGTCGACAAGTCTCCGGATTGAATGGGTTCCACGTGCCGTTGCTGAGTGCTCGTTGAAGCTCATCGGATGAGATTTGACCCGAACGATCTCTGTCAACCTAAAAATAAAATAATTGCCCAAGGTTCATTAACAGTTTTCTAAAAAGAATATATTCAAAACTTTACTCACCGAAGAGAAGATGCTCTGAAGATTTGGAGCAGCCATGTAGGAGGCAGGAGATCTAAAATGAAAATGTTTCCTTTAAAAAAGTCGTGCTATCAAGAACAATGAAAGTGGCCAAAACTTGGTAAAAATAACTATTTAAAACTTGCTCCAAGTTATCTTATATCCGTCCCCCGGGGAAGACATTACGTGTAATACCAATCAATCCTTATTTTTTTAGTATTTTATTGTAAATGACATAATTATATTAAATTTTAAGACTTTTTAAAAATTTCAGTTTTTTTGTTGGCTTAAAGATGGATGAGAAAAAGCCCTTATAAATGAACGAACGGGAGAAAAGACAAACTCTTTTATATAGTTAGTTTCATTTTTCATTTCCTCACTCTTCGAATAAAAGTGAGTACAGTGGAAATTCTTGAATCAAGCACCCCGAAAACTTCTCAATCTTTTCCGCATTTTCTAATGAGTGTGACTCGTGTGTGTTTGTGTCAGATTTCCGGAAAGAAAAGACAAGAAAAGAAAAAACAAACGAGAGAAGAGAAGTAAAGAAATGAAAAAATGAAAGACAGAGAGATGCATGGCATAACTCCATTTGAGCGGAACAAAGCCTCGAGGTCCCCTTGGCCTTCACCGCTCCCTTTCTTCTAGGGATATCCCCATTCCTTTCGCCCCATCAGTGACTCTTTGTTGTTTTTATCCTTATTCTTTATTTCCAGCCGTTCTTCTTATCTCTTAAAGTTTACATGACTTTCAACTTTTGAACTTTACCACGAAAAGACATGTTTTCAGTAGATGACATCAATTTGAAATCGTTGCTTTTATTAGCTTGCACTTATCTTGATAACTTTTTTTGTAATTACCGTAAATACTGTAATCGTACCCCACGTACACCGTCCTCGTAGCGTAGTGATCATGAAGATCATGAAGCCTTAATCGGTGGGACAATATCGGACGGTCGTGTTGGGACGAGGGCGTTTAGCCTGGAAATCGAAGGGAGAAGTTTGGTGGGGGGAAAGCTGGCACATGCAATAATATGGCAAAATGATGCAGATCTCTAGGTGAAACTTTCAAGAATCTCTTAATCTTGATCGTAAAATTGTATCAGACCACCTACCGTAAATACTGTAATAGTAGTACCCCACCCCCTCGTACAGTCGCGTAGTCGCAAAAGTTTTTTAGTATTTCATCATTTTTCAAAGCATCCATACTTTCAAAAAAATGTGTCTTTGGTATCAAAAAATAGCTGAAATTCAGGGCTATTTTTTGATACCTAAGCGCGCATTGTAGCATAAACCAGTGTCGAGAAAAACGCGTTCAAAGCTAGACTACGCAACACTCCACACCGTCATTATGGGGATGGGGTACATTATGGAGGTGCGGTACTATTACAGTATTTACGGTATGTTTAAAAATAACCTATTTATCTACAGTTTACTTTATTTTAAAGATCAATTGTTTTTTTTTTACAAAAGATTGTTGAAGTATTATTAAAATATTCAGTCTATAGTTTTAATGGGAGTCAAAAGATACGATTTAGGCGCTTTGGTCAACAGAAATCTATGTTAATGTTAATATACAAAAAAAGTGGTCAATACTTGTTCACCAAGCGAATACATTGAATTGCACTAAACAAAACTATCAATGCAATTCGAATCATGCAATGTAAAGAGCCGTTTTAACTTATCAAAGCAAAAAAGTAATAAAGGCTTTAAAACAAAAGAGGGAAATGTTAAAAATTAGTAATCGCTATGTAAGATACCGTATTTTCTCTAATAGTAGTGCACCCCGGCGAGCCGCGTTGATGATTATTTTACAGTTCCCAAGTTTTCGCAGAAGTTCAATACTCTAATCCCCCACAGCAATTTAAGCGACGCTCAGGGTGCTGAGCGTCGCTTAAATTGCTCGAAATCTCGAGAACCGCTTATCAGAACCTATCGATGTGGGGTCGGAAAATGTAGCTGACGATGAGATCTAGTAGGGGATTAGAGTGTTGAGCTTCTGTGAAAACTTGGGAACTGTAAAATAGTGATCAACACGGCTCGCCGGGGTGCACTACTATTAGAGAAAATACGGTACTCGATTTTCTTAAGGCTTAGTAATAGGAAAGAGCCGTTTTGGATGGAGCCAAGCCATTAAATGAAGACTTTTAGTAGCATTTTTTATTAAAGAAGTTTTGATATAAAGATATCATATCTAAATCGAGTACTTATTTATCATTTCTCTATAAATTCCATTCATTATTACTAGTAGGCCTCGGCTTTTCGATAGATCCTTTCAAATTTCATCAATAAACCATCAATTCCATCAATAAACCACCAATTCCATCAATAAATCATCAATAAACCATCAAATCCATCAATAAATCATCAATTTCATCATCAACAAGCTATCTTGGTTTAGAAATAATTTTGTTTTCAAGTAATAAGAAATAGCTGACTCTTTCTAAACATTTGCAATCTTTTTTAGAAACACAAGCAACTCTATAAGACATCACAGCTCGATTTGCTTCTGCACTCGACCTGATAGTGAAATCCTTTATTAGTTCAAGAAGCTCGTTTTTCATTAAGAAGATTAAATTAAATTCAAACATCTCAGTTTTATTGTTTTTGTTTTTCCTTTTGTTAAACTTCCTAGTTTTTCTCTTTTTCCTAACCACTTTTCAAACAAAAGCCGACTGATTGGGGAGACGTCAGCAAAAAAGTTTTTCAAAAAAACTTTCCCCAAAACTTTCCCCAAAAACTTCTAAAAGCCTAAATTTTACAGAATTTATAGAATTTTCTTTTAAACTTGAGCTTTACTTTGTAAACCTTTGTTAAGCTTTACTTTATAAACCTTTCTTAAGCTTTACTCTTTGTAAACCTTTCTCAAGCTTTACTTTATAAACCTTCCTTAAGCTTTACTTTATAAACCTTTCTTAAGCTTTACTCTTTGTAAAACTTTGTAAAACTTTGTAAAACATTGTAAACTATTCTCTAGCTATAAATCTATAAATTTTTAATTGACTCAAAGTTTCGTGAGAACTTTTAAACGCCTAATCATTTTTAATTTCAAACTGAAATTTCGGAATGACCAAAAATCGGAATACTCGAAAAGAAACTGACTCTGAGATTCATAAAACTTGTCGAAAAAAATTCGATTAACCCCGCTCGTTTTCAATAAACAAACAAAAGCTCGGGCTGATTAATGGAGAAATCGGAATGGTTCATTTTTGAGTATCTTGACAAAAACATTATCTTTTCGTGTACTTGGGGTAAATTCTTGAAAGCTGAATATCTTTATAGCTAGGGCAGGAAGCAGGCCTTAGAATTGTCGTAATTGCCAGACATTTTGCGGGCCAGATCAGGACATTGTATAATAGAACAGTAATACGTTTAAGACGTTCAATAACTTGTTTGAGTTGCTGAGGCATGGTAGCTGTCTTGGGACATCCTCTCCAAACCAATCGTTTCCCGTCTCTTTCAGCCTGGCTTGGTACGAGTTTAAACTTTTTAACCTGCTTAACTTCATCTTTTCTGGCTTTGATTCCTTCTTTTTTAAGGATTCGTCGAACGGAGCGATCTGAGATTCCAATAGAGGCCACCATTTTTCGATTTGAGTTCTTTGCATTCCTTGGATTACGTTTAAGCCGTTCAATACCTTGTTTGCATCGTTGGGATGTGGTAGCTGTCTTAGGAAATCCTTGGAACGGCTATCGTCTCGTATAGCGTCTCGTATTCCCGTCTCTTCGTAACGTTTGATGGGCTTTTGAAACGTGAGACTTTTTCAAAAGATCGGCAATCTCCATCACTTCCTCAAACAATTGAATTATACCCAAATGCAAGTTTCTTGCTTTTTTGATATCTAATCAGAGCGTTTAATAATAGTTGAAATGAAAAGAAAAGAAAAAACAACATAAGAAAACTGATTGAAAAGTTCGTTCGATAATTTTGCTGCGTTGGTGAATTGAAAACTGCGGGCTATTGTCATATGTGACAGTTTGAGCACTTTTTTCAAAAGAAACCCATTCTGGTGTCAATGGAAAAGTTGTAGAGAATCAAAAATCAAGCTTATATCCAAATTTCCAAAACGATTCAAAAACTGGTTTTCAAGAAATGCCAAATTTACGATTTTCACAAAACTTGCATTTTAAGCTAAACTACTAAGTGTATCTTTTTGGAAATTTGGCTATAAGCCTAATTTTTGATTCTCTACAACTTTTCTATTGACACCAAAATGGGTTTCTTTTGAAGAAAGTGCTCAAACTGGTCCTCCATTTTTCTCCAGTCTCCAGTCTCCAGTCCTCGATTTTTGAGTCTCACACTTGTCTCACACACAAACCAAAATCCTACTACGAAAGAGGAATCCGCAAATAGCGTGTAAAATGGGCAGAAGTCGTCAATAATAATGGAAATTATTTCGAATGAATTGATGGCTTTATGTTCAATAAATTTTAGTTCAAAGTCCCGCAGTTTTCAATTCACCAACCCAATATGTCAAGTCCCGTTTTCTGGCAAAACTCGCAAACGTAACCCATATCAAAACCTGGGCTTACTTGGCTACAACACTACTGTAGATCTTCTATAGTATATGAAAAGTATATTAGGTACTGTGAAAAATTTAAACCTAGCTTTCATTTAAAAAAGTGTAGAGTTTATAAGTCAAAATGCTCACTGCCGAAATCCTAAGCCTAAGCCTAAGCTCCAAGCACGCCCAAATTACTGTAATCCATGTCTGATTACCGTAATCCATATCTCAGCGTCACCCAGCTAACCTAAATTTCATTTTAATAGTAATAGTTAATAGTTTTTTAATAGTTGATGCTTACGGTACCAATCAGTTTTTAAGTTTTTAAATTCTAAGACATTCAGAGCAAACTCTGGTCAAATACATGACTTCTTTTTGTCGGGTAATCAAGCCAATCTTGACATCATCCACCAAGATTTCCTTTTCCCAAAAAAGCATGACCATGCCTTTCACATTTTCCTTCCGCAAAACCACTTTTTCTCTCTTGGGCAATGAGGATAGATTTATCTCCATTCTTCAGCCGTTCACCCTTTCTTTTTCTTCTTTTTTTCTTCTTTTTTCCCCTTTACATGTCCTTTGGCAAATCCCCTGAGAATATTGAAAACCCTGGAGAATTTTGTTGTCAAAAAAAAAATGAAAAGTGGAATAACCCATAAAGTTTTAAAACTTTAAACTTCTTCCTGAATGTTCAAAAGTTATCCATTTCATTTTGGATTCGGAAAACCGATAGGATTTTGGTTTTTACTGAATCTCAAAACATTCAATTTCAATTTTTAGCCTATCAGAGTTAGATAACTTTTTAGTGGCTATTCGCCACAGATAGGTTGAATCTAATATTTATTGTTACTTTTCCCACATCACATCCTCCCGGGCCTTGGCGATTTTGAGCTTCTCCGGAGTGTCGAGAAAAAGAATTGCGGAAATCCCTGCGCCTTCATTCTATTTCCCGCCCCAAATCATTTATTGTTTTGTAGCTTGTTAGCTGAATATCTTGTGTTAAAGCCTATATAAGGCAACTGTTGTTCATTTGATGCGTTTTTAGGGGGTGGGACAAATGCTACCTTTTTTTGCGCACCTGGACATTTGCGCACCTTTTTTTTGTTGGAAAAGGCCTTAGGAAAGGTCGTAGAGCTTCGAAAATGTTTCCATATAAGGGAATCGTATGCGTAGATTCCGAATTTCGACAAAGCAGACCTCGCTGACACGTCAAATTTGGGCTAAAAGGCAAAAACTGCGGAAAAGCGTTCAGTTGCGTAGTTTTTGCCTTTTAGCCCAAATTTGACGTGTCAGCGAGGTCTGATTTGTCGAAATTCGGAATCTATGCATACAATTCCCTTACATGGAAATATTTTCAAAGCTCTACGGCCTTGCCTAAGGCCTTTTCCAGCAAAAAAAAGGTGCGCAAATGTCCAGGTGCGCAAAAAAAGGTCGCATTTGTCCCACACCCGCGTTTTTATTTTTTTCTGCTTTCCTTTCATCGTGTGAAAGTTTTGTCTTAATTAGGACGAAATTGTTTCTGTTTTTTTATCGTCGCTTTTAATTCAATTGTCGATTTTGTGTAAAAAATTGCTCAAGTGAGAGCCCAAAAATCAGGAGTCAATCGGCTATTGAATAAAGTGTCTTAGTTGAAGTGAGATCAAATATCTCGAAACAAGAAATAACGTGTCTTGAGTGAAGAGTACCAAGCACGCAAAGAAAATTTCTTTGCAGGGTAATGGTTTTGAAAAAAATCTAATCATGGAAAAAATCATGGAAAAAAATCTAACCTTGAAAAATCCAATCTTTCTGAATCAATTTTGATCCGATTTTAGAAATAAAGCCTTTTTTTTGCATTTTCTTGATTTGGTTTATGAGAGAACACAGGAACAAATATCTAATTTGTAAGCAAAAGGGAGCTTTTTCTTTTCCAGAAAAAAGGATCTTCCGATTTTTCGGGAGAACGAGATGATTCTTCTTTTTCTTTTTTCTTTCTTTTGTTGTTTTTTTCCTCTTTTGATTCCTCAGGGAAACACTCCTGGAGTCACTCCGAGAAATTTGGCCTTTAAAAGTTTACGCTTTTCAATTTGTTTATGTTGATTTGATTAGAAATGGCTTAACTGATTTAAACTTTTAAATACATTTGGAAATATTTGGAAAGGAGATTCGCAGCTTTCAAAAAGAGGAAAAAGATTGGTAAACTCAATGAAATGAATAGCTTCAATCGATTCCCCAATCCAGAAAATTTGCGGACATAAATTTACACCTAAAAATCCTTTTTTAAACCATCGATTGAAAGAAGATTTCATATGCAAGGTGTTCTTTGTGCGCGCACACAATCGCTCTTCATCTGGCACACGTCCCCAATAGATAGCCGTCGATTGAAAACCATCGATTGAAAGAAGAATCAGTATGTGAGGTGTTCTTTGTGCGCGCACACAATCGCTCTCCATCTGGCACACGTCCCCAATACATAGCCATTCCCTTTTGCAATCGTCGAAGGGGGGTATTAATCGCGGCCGGGTGACCATAAAAATATTTTTACGGGAACCGCCTGTTTTTTTATTCTAGTATTGCTGATTTTATTATAAAAAGAATAAAAATCACCCGGCTAGAGTGATTTGGTGGATTTACAAATTTTTGGAGACGCTGCAAGGCTTGAACGATGATCTTGTTTTTTTTCCAAGCCTTGCAGCGTCTCCAAAAATTTCTAAACCCATCAAATCACTCTAGCCGGGTGATTTTTATTCTTTTTATAATAAAATCAGCGATATTAAAATAAAAAAAACGGGTGGTTGCCGTAAAAAATTTTTATGGTCACCCGGCCGCGATTAATACCCTTTAAAGCTAAGCGACTGAGCCAGTATCGCCCTCTTTCGCCTCACCATGCTCAAATTTTTTTGGGATCAACAAATCATTTTTACCTCAAATTTCGCTGTATTTTTTGCCGCAAATTCCACAACTTTATACCGAAATTCCCATGGATACGAAAATATTCCTTTTCTTAAAACCCCCGTCATTGTGTCAAGAAAAAGACAAGAAAACTTAATTTTTCATTCACATTTTTCTCGAGGTCAAATTTCTCGGGGAATTTTCGAATTCTCGATCGCAACATCCTTTTTTGCAAGCCTTTGACTCTAGTTTCAAAAAGTTTTATGGCTTCAATTTTTAAATTTAATATCTAATCTTAAGTTTAGATTTTGCTTTGAAGCCATTTCTTTAAAGATTTCTTCACAAATCTTTGCGTGCGTGTGTGTTGGAGCCATTTTTTGGATCATTTTTTTGAGTTGGAGTCAAATTGGAGTCATTTTTTTCTTGAGTGCCTTGGAGAAAATGAAGAACCTCCGGAAATTTATTGTCTTCATTTGTGAGATCAAAAAATTCCTCCAATTTTTATTCCTTGACCTTTTCTAGAAATAGAAAACAGGAGATAATTCGTTTTTTTTAATGCAAATGACTTCAATTTCCGTTTTCAAAACATAATTGGAATTTTCCCAACATGGATATTTTCCCAAAGGCAATGGATAAAAGATATTCAGCTAATTGGGTTTCAAATTCACACCTCAATGAGCAAATTTGGCGGCTTATCGAGGGGGGAAAACCACCTTTTCGTGGCCCCGTTTTCATTTTGATATATTTTGATGAGTTCCTTTTGAATTAAAAGCTCAATAATTCATGATTCAAGTTTAGAAAATGAAACGGAAAAAATGGAAATGTTCTAGATTTTCTCGTACTAGGGTTTTATCTAAAAAAAAAATCGTACCTTCTCCAAGAAAATAATCCTCTTCTAATCTTCAGCTAAAGATTCCGAAAATAAATACGATCATTTTTCCCAAAAACGAAAAAATCGGCTTTTTCAAACGCTTTTTCACTTAGAACTTGTAAAATGCTATCCAACCTTAAAAAACGTTTGAAAATGTTCATTTAAAGGGCTTAAAAACTGGAATAGTCAAAGGATGAGATTCTAATGGTTCTAATTGTTATTTACTTGATGGCACTGTAGTCCTTGTGACCTCGTGGTCATTTTGTACACCTATTTCCGTTGTACACCTATTGACAAGTGCCCATGACTAGTTCTAACGCGTTTACCGTAACCTGTAGTAGCTTGAATAGTCACAAGGACCACCAGTAGCTAACTGAAAGATAGCTCATTCATTTAGCTCATTAATTTACAAACTTGGTGTAAAGTTTGCTTGCAAAGTGACTACGAGAACTTTTAGCGCCTTTTAGAAAACGCTAAAAAGGCTCATTCATTCTAAAAGGCGCTAAAAGTTCTCGTAGTCACTTTGCAAGCAAACTTTACACCAAGTTTGTAAATGAATCAGCTAAATGAATGAGCTATCTTTCAGTTAGCTACTGGTGGTCCTTGTGACTATTCAAGCTACTACAGGTTACGGTAAACGGGTTAGAACTAGTCATGGGCGCTTGTCAATAGGTGTACAACGGAAATAGGTGTACAAAATGATCACGATGTCACAAGGACTACAGTGCCATCAAGTAAATAACAATTAGAACCATTAGAATCCTTCATCCTTCAATTTGATCTCTTCATTTTTGATGCCAGAAACCCATTCAATCATTTCCCGTTGAAATCCTTGTACATCTCAATTTTCGAAAACTTAATGGCTTCTCAAAGTCCCATTTTTTCTCAACATCAACAAGTTTTTCAATTATTTTATTTTTTTCCATATCACCCGGAAATTCGCTTTAGTGAAATCCGGGGGTTTTTTTTTTGATGAATTTTCACTTTCAAGAACTTTTCCTAAATCTTAAAAACTAAAAATTTAGTTAATCTATTTCTATATTTTTTGGTTTTTTTTGGAATGTTGACGTGATTTTCATTCATCAAATGGGAATCCGGATTGGCTCAAATGCACAATGTGATCAATGAGCGACGAGTGATTTTCACGATTTTCTCGCTAATTTTCTTTTGCTTACCAAGATGGTGGGTAAGATTTCGAAAGCGACATTGTAAAACGTCACCCAGACTACCGTAATTCGGACTTGGCATCGTCAGCTACCTTAATCCATTTGCTCACTACCGTAAACGCAAGTTAAATGTTAGTTGATAAGGTGTTTGTCTCAAGGAAAACCGTACCAATCACCTACTTGAGTAATAAAGACAGAAAAAGAACCCAGAAGATCGGTTACGGTAGCTGGCACACACTTTAGACTTACATTTCCCATAACGTTTTCAATTTTGAGCACAAAGTAACCATGAGAAGCCTTTAACCTAAAGCATAAGATAAACTTTTGAATAATATCCAATATCAAAATGCCGTATTCTCTCTAATAGTAGTGCACCCTGATTGTTGACTAAATTCCTCGAAATCTCGAGAACTGCTTATCAGAACCTATCGATGTGGGGTCGGAAAATGTAGCTGACGATGAGAGCTTGTGGGGGATTAGAGTGTTGAGCTTCTGAGAAAGCTAGGGAACTGTAAAATAGTCACTCGGCTCGGCCGGGCGGAGGGGGGAGGGCAATACTATTAGAGAAAATAAAGAATACCGTATTCTCTCTGATAGTAGTGCACCCAGAGCGTTGCCTAAATTCCTCGAAATCTAGAGAACCGCTTATCAGAACCTATCGATGTGGGGTCGGAAAATGTAGCTGACGATGAGATCTAGTGAGGGATTAGAGTGTTGAGCTTCTGTGAAAGATTGGAAACCGTAAAATAGTCACCAACTCAGCTCACCGGGGTGCACTATTAGAGAAAATACGGTATATCAAATATCAAATAGCCAATCTCAAATATCCAATCTCAAAAGCTCTTTCAGCGCCACTCACCTCTTGCATCCAACCATTCGACAGGCGACTGCGGAAGACCTCGACGAGTTGACGTACTTTGGGAAAAACTTCTCAATAATTATTTTTAGAGATTATCTCACTTTTGAAATGACTCTTCCACCAACAACAGCATGGCCAAAATTTCGGCCAGAAATGAGAAATCTCGAGTTCTCGGCGCTTTCAGAGGAGAGTCTGAAGAGGTCGGATGGGGGTGAGAAAAGGAGGTGAGGAATGGGATCTGCAATAAGTAGCAGTACGTATCAGTACTTCGTAAATTCATAAGCTAAATGATAGATATCTAGATATATCTAGGAGTTTTAGCCTCTTCAGTTCGGCGCTCAGCCCATGCGCGGTGCCACAACCGGGTGATGGAGAGTTCGAGGATTTCTGTCAAATGCAATACCATCAAGTAAGTGATGAAATGGTATTTTAAGATTGTTATTAATAAAATCTACTAATAGAATATTAATATAATATAAATTGTAAAAGGAAAACATCAAAACCCTCTTTTTAAAAATCTTTTTCGACTAAACTCGAGGCTTTTGGCGACTAGGCGTGGCTCTTTTATCTTGCATCTTGCAAGCTGCTTTCTCAAAATCCTCTAGAGCTTTTTTTGTAACAATTGACAATTGTCTGACAATAAAATCAGACACGGTGAAGATCGAACGAATCCTCTTTTATCTCTTTTATCTTGCATCCCGAAACTGCTTTCTCTAAATCCTCTAGAGCTTTTTTCGTAAATCGTGTGACTAAAGTTTGGAATGCCCTTCCCGACAAGTTGCGTTTGATCTCCACCGTGTCTGATTTTAAGAGGGCTATTTCGTTGCATTTTAAGTGACTTTGTCATCTTTTATCTAGTACATTTTTCATGTCGTTTTCGCACTTTATTTCTTTCTGAATAAAGTATTTATATATAAATATTAATATAATATTAATATAATTTATTTTGATTTGGTCTTATGCTATAAAATCATCTTCTCTCCTAACTCTCATCCGGAACTTAAAGGACTCTTTAAGATTTCGAATCACGCCAGAAGAACTCGTAGTCACAACTTTCAGATTACCCCCTTTCAAAGCTTTCATAACCGCCAACTGTATCATTCTTTTCTTTTGCTTGTCGTGTTCCTCGTATTTGGAATAAGTTACCTTGTGATATTTTTTCGTCTCTGAACTATTTTAAATCCTCAATATATAAGCTCGATCTTGTAGCTCTGTCAATTTTAAATTAGTTTTTAATGTCATATATACACGTGTCTAATTGTAGTTGTGTTTGTATATCAATTATCTTTCTTCGTCTACGCTGTTCAATCTGTTTGCATTGTCACTTTTCCTTGTCGGATAAAGTATATATATTATATAATATTAATATAATATTAATATAATATTAATAGAATATAGTATTTCAGTCACAAGCCGTTTGCGATCCGGGGAGTCTTTTATCGCGAACGGAGAGCGAGTTATTGGATTCACGAATCGAAGCGATGAATATGAGTGGATGTATATGTAAAAAGTATTTTAATATTTCGATATATTGAAATTGTGATCTAAATTGTGTTCAGCTGTGCCGACAATGGGAAACCGACGGTGGCTGTCGTTGTCGTTTCGTTGGCTGATTGGAATGGGTGAGTTTTGAGAAGGGAAACTCTTAGAAATTCGATAATTCTTCGAGAAACTGAAAGAAGATATTGAAAGGAAATTTGCATACTTGTCTCTTTTATCAATGTAATACTAGAAATGTCATTTTAGTTTCCAAAAATGTCTCCCCACCGGCCTCACCTCACCGGGAAATCCGATCGCGAAACCCTCGGCCGCTTTCATCTTTTCAAATATTCTTGCTGTAAATTTTTGCAAAGATTTAGACAAAAATTGAATATTTTTACACAATTTGCATTAAAATATGATTGTTTTTAGTCATATTTTCGCCAATTTCCAGGATCATTGGGCACAAAGCTGTCGACCCGACTTGTTCCTGGTTTACATTGAACGATGGACCGCGGAGCCCACGCATCGACCATATCTCATTCCTATCTATCAGTATGTTATGCTTTAAATCTGCTAGTCTGCTTACTATGAGAAAATTTTAAGAAACGACTTCCATCGCCTTGCCTCCAGAGCTCGGCCGGTTCTCGTGCGTGCCACAAATCAACTCCTCGACGAAACGACGAAAGCGCTCATTAACTCAAGAAATCTGATGAATAGTGGAGTGCATCAAGTGAGATTATTTTCACTTTCCATTGCAAACTTCTTTCAGTTCCAACTGCGAGCCACAATCCCATCATGGGCCGTCTCGTTGACTCTTGCACTTGTCGGTTTCATGTGTGTTGCGATCTATGTCGCAAATTATATAACAACAAAAATCGGGAGACAAAGGGTGGTAAGTAAAAATAGACAAGAAAAAATAGACAAGTAAAAATAGACAATATCTTTATATCTTTAAAAGATGTTTTCTTGAAAATTCTCTTTTTTTCAGCGAAAGAAGAGTTCGGTGAGCTCGGTTCGATCGCATCGTTTACGACCGGGAGTCGGTGGTGGATTAATGATGAGTGAGTGCTTCGGATAAGCAATTTCACAAGCTTAATATATTAGATTTTTATCATAATGTCTTCTCAAATGTATCAACTTTCAAAAGCTACCGTAATCGCTAGTTTTATGAGTAAAGCATCGATTCTTTATTACTTTACTCTTACCCATTAGAATTTTGAGTGTTTTTTGCAGTTTAAAAACAGAGAACGAGGTTACGGTAGCGTTCGAAAGCTGGTATGATCTGGAAAACACAAAACACTCTATTAGGACATAGTACCGGATTGATGACTTGTTAATAGATTGATAGACTAGGAAACGACTTGTTAACAGAATGATAGACTAGGAAATGACTTGTTGGCAGAATGACAGACTAGGAAATGACTTGTTAATGGATTGATAGACTAGGAAATGACTTGTTAATAGATTGATAGACTAGGAAACGACTTGTTAATAGATTGACAGCTAGGAAATGATTTGTTAGCAGAATGACAGCTAGGAAATGACTTATTAATGGATTGATAGACTAGGAAATGATTTGTTAACAGAATGACAGCTAGGAAATGACTTGTTAATAGATTGATAGACTAGGAAATGACTTGCTAATAAATAGACAGATTAGGACTTGTCAATAGATTGACAACTCGTTATTAAGTAGACAGTTAGTACTCGATTCACACAACTGATAACAGACACAAAGTTCGCCACTCACAGCTCTGTACCCATGACATTCTATATGATGGATAAGTCTAACATTTAATTGAAATTTCAAATGAAAACTTTTAGCCGAAAATCGTTTGGTGACCCCGGTGCGCAAGAGCACGATGATGTTCCGCTCGTTCAACAAAAGTCGATACGCGGCGATACCCACCGCGAATCGGATATGATAAATAAAACTCTAATATTATAGTCTAATAATTATCTAATATTATCTAATAATTATCTAATAATTATCTCATATTATTTAATATTATCCAATATCTAAAACGTTATCTAATATGTTATATGTTATTGCATGTCCCAGCTCTCCCCTCCCCACCAAACTTCTCCTTCGATTTTCAGGCTAAACCAGTACAGTACTATTCTAATTTTTGACCAAAAGTGTCTTTTCACTTGCCGCTAAACATTTTTTCATTTTTATTTCACTTTTGTGTGGGCAACGCAGAGATCTCCCAATTTTTACTAGTCTTTTGCTCAATAGTGGCTTTTTTTATATTTTCTTGATAAATATTGAACGAATTTATCCCTGATATAATATTTTACATAGAAAAAATTTGGTTTTGAAAATGAATATGAAAATGAAAAATTATTGTGCAGAGGTGGGACCCGAGAGAAAATGAATCAAGGAATTGAGATCAAGAAAATGAGATCAAGAAAATGAAATCAAGAAATTGAAATCAAGAAAATGAAATCAAGAAATTGAAATCAAGAAAATGAGATCAAGAAATTGAGATCAAGAACTTGAGATCAAGAAATTGAAATCAAGAAAATGAGATCAAGAAATTGAGATCAAGAACTTGAGATCAAGAAATTGAAATCAAGAAAATGAAATCAAATAATCAAGAATTGTATGGAGAATTCCAAAAATAAAAACTTCAGCATTCTATAAAATGTATTGTATTTGATGAAAATCAAGATTTAAAACCCTTTTTTTAGAATTTCATAATTATGGGGAGTTTTTCTGTAACCTGAAGCTAAAGCTGAAGAGCTATCTTCAGCCCTTGCAAAGCTGAGATTCGATGAAAAAGGTTTAGGTAAGAAATAAATTGAAATCAAAATAGATTCGAGAAATATTAGAGTTCTAAATAAGAGTTATTTAAGGGATTTATTGAGTGATCTTTCTTTCAAGAATATTGATCGGATTGTCGGCGATCGTAGAAAACCGGCCTTAGCAGATCCATGTCAGTCGCCTGAAAAGGATATGGCTTTTCATTTTAAAGATAAACCTCTTTCAAACATTTTAAGCACATTTTCATAGTTATAGTGGTGAAAAATATTCTAATAGTATTCTAAATTGTGTCCTTAAAGCTAAGGCTAAGGGCTAAAGCTAAGGCTAAGGCTGAAGCTAAAGCTAAGGGCTAAAGCTAAGGGCTAAAGCTAAGGCTAAGGGTTAAAGCTAAAGCTAAGGGTTAAAGCTATATCTAAAGCTATATCTAAAGCCAAAGCTAAATCGTTTTCTAAAAGATCCCCGTAAAAGGTTACTTTATTCACCTTTTCCGTAGAAATTCTATAAGAAATTACTATTGAAAACTTTTCCTTAGATAGAGAATGACTACCATAAACTGAATACCGTAAGCCGTAGCTCATTAGTCAGATGGTACAGTAATCCAAGTAGCTTCTATAACAGAAACTACTTGAGGACGTACTATTGGGTTGGTGGATTGAAAACTGCAGGCTATTTCGCGGGATTCGCAGATAAAGAAAACAATGCATAGAACCAGCTGAAAGGGGGATTTGTTTACTTCAACATTTCCTCTAATTATTGCAAAAAAATTATACTTTCAACTTTTTCCAATCATTTCGTGAACTTTTTACCCATGAAGTAGCCTGATTCCAGCTACAACTCACCTCTTGAGCATCTCCGAGTCTCGCATGCGCGCTCGCTCGTCGCAACGCGCCATCCATGCCCGTCAAAGCTACAGAAAGCACTACCTGAAACGATTAGTATAGTAATCTTTTAAAAAAAAACTATCATTTTACCTTATCCAATCCAGTTCCATAGCATTTCGGCTTTAAATCGCCCCTTCTTGACGCCGTTTTCTGAAACTATCCTTATCGTTGTTCACTGTTTATTCACAAAGTGCAAAGATTGTAAAACTTGAAAAAAAAATGATAAAATATGAGTGCCTCGAAGATCATGAAGCCTTGATCGGTGGGACAATATCGAACGGTCGTGTTGGGACGAGGACGTTTAGCCTGGAAATCGAAGGGAGAAGTTTGGTGGGGGGAGAGCTGCGACATGCAATAATATGGCAAATTGATGCAGATCTCTAGGTGAAACTTTCAAGAATCTCTTAATCTTGATCGTAAAATTGTATCAGACCACCTGCCGTAAATACTGTAATAGTCCCCCACCGCCCTCGTACAGTCGTGTAGTCGCAAAAGTTTTTTAGTATTTCATTTTTTTCAAAGCACCCATACCTTCAAAAAATGCGTCTTTGGTTTCAAAAAATAGCTGAAATTCAGGGCTATTTTTTGATACCAAAGATAATGACGGTGCGGAGTGTTGCGTAGTCTAGCTTTGAACGCGTTTTTCTCGACACTGGTTTAAGCTACAATGCGCGCTTAGGTATCAAAAAATAGCCCTGAATTTCAGCTATTTTTTGATACCTGAGCGCGCATTGTAGCATAAACCAGTGTTGAGAAAAACGCATCCAAAGCTAGACTACGCAATGCTCCGCATCGTCATTATGGGGGTGGGGCGTCATCACGCACTATTACAGTATTTACGGTAGCAACTCTTGCAAGTTTATCTCAGTTCACTGCCGAAGCGTGTACAACAAGGACAAGATTCGGTGAGTGTAAAAAAAAAATGCAGTTTTTTTCTGCTAAGGAGAAGCTCAAACAGATCAAAAGACCCACTTTGATCCCGTGCAGACTTTGCGGACTGAAGAAGTTGAGCCAATTGTCGAAGACTTCCAGGACTTCGGATCGGATACGCGCGTTGCATGCATAGTAGATAGGCAATCGGAGAAAGCTGAATATTGTCATACAAGAATTGTCATATCAAAATTGTCTTTAGAAGACATTCCTCACTAAGGAGAAAAGTAAAGAGAAAGGAGGAAAAGAAGAAAAAATTGGCAGGAAAAGGTGGAAGCCGGAGAGGGGATTGAACCCTCCACCATCGGGATTCGCTTTGCCTCCCAAGCAAATGTTCTAACCACTGAGCTATCCGGTATCTAGCTCCACTTCCTTAAGAAGTCACTTAAGAAGTCACTTAAGACTCATTTTCTTTCTTGTGCAGCTTTCTTTCTTGAGCTTTCCAATGCACTTACCATGAGGTGACGGTGAGCAGAGAAACCAGATCACTCACATAGGAATAATAGGGTCGAATGGCTGGATCCCAGAGGAAATCCTAGAATTTACGCATTTCTCATGACATTCTTACAAGGATAAACCATATCGAACATTTCCAAGATGTACAAAATGACATTGGGTAGATTTGAGGCCAGATACGAGCACGTCACACAAACCAACATCAACGTGGCGGCGCGGATGTTTTGCTGAAATCGTTTATGAAAGTTCTGACAGTTTTCGTTTTATTTCAACAGTTTACCCTGTGCTCTGAAGTAGCGAATCGAAAAAGTTTAGCACCCTGGTGTTGGAGACGAAGACGACGAATGATTTGGATGTTCAGATAGAAACAGAGAAAAAATGGGAGACACGTGATGACAATGTTCCGGAACCAGAACTGAAAAGTTGAAATGTGCAAAATGAGTTTTAGGCTCTGGCTTCCAAATGGCAAAAATGATTCACAAACCTTATACAAAGTCTGTAGGGTTTCCGACTCGATCCAATCGATTTGATTCGGTCGCCATTGACTCGCACCCGTGCAATTGAAGTTTTTAACTACCTGAAAGATGGGTGAACGATGGATGGGTAATGTACAGTCGAACTTCGATATAACGAAACTCAAGGAATCGGCCAAAAAGTGTGTTATATTGAAGTGTTCGTTATATCGAGTGTTTGTTATATGTTTGTTATATTCGTTGTATCCAATTTTGTTATATCGAAGTTCAACTCTATGTACAAGAACTTTCAAATTCAAATTTGAAAGTTTTAGTTTTTTAAGGAGTTTAGGAGCTTGACCGCTCCAGTTGTTTTTAATCAAAAAGAAAAAGCGAAAAAGTTTGACGTAACGGGAATCGAACCAAGGCATCAGGGATCGAACCAAGGTACCAGGGATCGAACCAAGGTAACAGGGATCGAACCAAGGTACCAGGGATCGAACCAATGCACCAGTGATCGAACCAAGGCATCAGGGATCGAACCAAGGTACCAAGGATCGAACCAACGCACCAAGGATCGAACCTCGGACTTCTCCGGCTCGGACCCCAGAGGACTATCCCTTCAGCCATGCACCCAGCTTTCGTGGGTCGGCGTGAAGGCGTGAAATAGGCACCTTTCCCTAGCAAGGGACACTTTTTGAAAAAATCTCAAACCAGTGCAACCCAGATTGTACTATAAATAAAACTAGTCAATAAAAGAGCGCATCTAGACTCTAGATTCTAGAGTACTGTAACTTTTGTAACTAACAACATTGTTCTTTCACCCTTGTCCCACCTCAATCTCAAAAAACATGGGCGCTTTTGGGAATATGGCAAAAATCAGGCAGAGGATCGAGATCAAATAGCGGTTTCTCTTCGCAAACTGTGTCCGAATTTTCGATATCGTCACAAATCTGAAAATTTTACCTTTCAAATAGCTTTATAACTTTTAAAAAAAGCTTTTCTTTCAGCCAACTAAAAAAAAGAAAAAAAAAAGCGAAAAGTACAGTTGTTCAGCCGTGTTTTTTTTTGGTTAGTTGTTGAATCGATTAGTCGATTGATTGGAAATATTTGAAATCTCTAATTTTTTGGGGATTTACCTGGGATCGGGCAGCTCCAAATGATATCTATAGAATTGTTGGATGAAACTTTTAAAGGTTTTGAATTGAAATCCCATAAATCTAGCAGAGATGGGATGATTTGCATAGAAATTTTGTTTCCTAATATTTTTCCTACCGCTCAAAAGCTGCAGCCACAATTAATAGAGCTGACGCGGTCATCATCACATGGCTGATCGACAGGGTTAATGGCATGTAAGTGTACCTGAAATCATTGTTGTTTCAAAAGGATTTTGGGTTATAAGAGAAGTCAAGCCTTGTTCTAGCCTGACTTACTGGTTACTAGGAACTGCTTACTGGTTACTGGCCTTGCTTACTGGTTACTAGGAACTGCTTACTGGTTACTAGGAACTGGTTAATAAAGTAAGCAATAGCAAAGAAAGATTTCCGGAGAGGGGATTGAACTCTTGACCTTTTTGCTTTCCGGACAATTGCTCTAACCACTGAGCTATCTAGTATCTTCTTGCTAGAGAAGGAAGAGGAAATACAAGGGAGAAGAAAGAGAAGGATGGTTAAAACAAGGAGTCCCCAGGGAATGGAGTGGATCAATCTGGATCAGAAAAAGTCGGGCCTAGCCTGTCTGGCTTATATTTCTTCTTGATAAACCCCGGTTAGAAAAGATAATTCAGTCGACTTTAGTATTGATAGATTAAATAATCCCCGTTGACAAACTCATTGTCGGTTAATTAATACAGTCTACTGTTCCCTTACCACGCATTCGCCAGGACGACACTCTCAAAGTAGTCAACGTAGATGTTGATTGGGAAGAGTAAAATGTAGGCAACTAGAGGAAATTTTGTAGAAATTTCAGCTTTAAGTCACTTACTAGACACGAAAATGTCAAAAGCGGCAAGAAAAGTCAAATAGAGAAGATGAGATGATCGATGCTTTCGATTTTTCATCAACAACCAAAAGAGAAACGTGTTGAAGACGACACTTAGGCCGGCCACGGAGCAACCTAGAAGGTTTAAGTACAGATAGAAGATTGTAAAGTTCATGTTCAGTCGAGTTAGTTGTTGAAGTTATTAATTTAGTTTCGCTTGGTCTTTGATTGTTCTTGTCTTACCGTATTTTCTCTAATAGTAGTGCACCGTACTGAGCCGAGCTGATGCCTATTTTAGGGTTTCCAATCTTTCCCAGAAGTTCAACACTCAAATCCCCCACAAGATCTCATCATCAGCTACATTTTCCGGCCCCACATCGATAGGTTCTGATAAGCGGTTCTCGAGATTTCGAGGAATTTAGGCAATGCTCTGGGTGCACTACTATTAAAGAGAATACGGTATTTTTTATTTTCTCTAATAGTATTGCCCTCTCCCTCTCCACCTGATCGAGCCGAGTTGATGATTATTTTACAGTTCCCAATCTTTCCCAGAAGCTCAACACTCAAATCCTCCGCAAGGTCTCATTGTCAGCTACATTTTCCAACCCCACATCGATAAGTTCTGATAAGCGGTTCTCGAGATTTCGAGGAATTTAGGCAACGCTCTGGGTGCACTACTATTAGAGAAAATACGGTATATTGATTTGATAAGTATTTGTGTTATCTACTTTATTTGTCCTTTACTAATGCTTTCGAAATCAAGCCAACCTATGACTCCAATAACAATGAAACTCGTTTCCCCCGGTGAGATGATCATGCAATTCTCCTCCCAAAAGAGGTACGCCTCAAGAGAGTCGAACTCGAGCACGCGCGTTGTCATTGTTGACGTCATTGTTGATGTGAGAGCTGTAAATGTCCTCAAATCACACCGTCAACACTGATATAAAAATGAATTTAATCAAAGCAACGTACCTGTATTGTAACGTACGTTCTTAAAAAGATCCAATCCAACCTTTCCCGAGGAATATCGATTTAAAGGTCATCATTTGAAAAAGGAAAAAAAACTGAAGCTGAAACTCGGGTAGTTTGAAATTTCAATCTAGAAAAACGAAAGATAAATGCTCAAAAGAGGGATGGGGAAGCAATTTTGCAAAGATTTCTTCGAGATTAGAGCTTTCACAAAATAGACAAATAGTGAGAGAAATGGGTTGAGATTAATTAAAGGCTTTCGGAAAAAAGATTGGGGATGTTTAAAAAAAAACTGTGATGTTTTTGGGGTTTGAAATTTGATGCAAAATCTGGTATAGGTTATTGTGGATAATGATTAATGATACTAAAGATATCTATATATATGTTGTGTCCGATTTAGATTACAGTCTATATCGGACGTCCGATTTAGATTCAATCTAAATCTTATATAGATTGAATAATAATATAAACATGCTTAATATATGTTCTTAAGCGTTTTCTGTAGTTTTTAACTTTAATAGGATAATAGGAATTTAACCCATTCGAAACCGCAGCGTTTTTTCTTTTTTTTCGTCTACGGACCAAGCCCTTTTTTGACATTTTTGACTCCGAAGCAGTTTATTTATGGTTGGAAAGATGTAAGAGAGTCTCCTACACCATTTATTTTTGATGAAGAACGATTTGGATTTGACTTCAGTACTTTTCAAGATCCTATCGATTATTCTTCTTATTTTATCGACGACAATATTTTAATAGGCGAATCTAATAAACATGGAAAAAGGAAAACAAACTGGCAGGATTTCGATGCAAAGTCTTTCAAGCTCTTCCTGGCTTCAAATGGGAATCGTCAAATTACCGAGGATTCGTGACTACTGGAGTAGCAGGCCTGGATTAGGAGGATTTTCCCACATGTCCCACATTATGTCAAGAGCAAAATTTGAATCTATTCTTCGCAACCGGCGTTTTTGTGATAATGAACTGGATCCTGCAGGAGATTGGCTTTATAAGATTAGAGCTATTATGGAACATTTCAATGCAAAACCAGAGACTGCATTGATTCCGGGTAAATATGAAACATCTTTTTTGCCCACGTAATTTGTAGATCTGCTACAATTGGAATATACATGTAATGCTGAAAAACAGCAAAAAAAAAGCAATTAATTGAATGAAAATAGCTCAATTAGCGCTGCAGCGAATAATCGCTGCAGCGGCCCGTTCCCGAGTTTTTGCTGCAGCGATTATTCGCTGCAGAAGTTTCGAATGGGTTAAGCATTTAATAGGAAAACAAGAAAACAAAAAATTCTCAAAAAAAGACAATAAAAGACCTTTGAAAAATGCAGAAAACTACAGAAAACGCTTAAGAACATATATTAAGCATGTTTATATTATTGTTCAATCTATATGTCGTAGCCGTTTACGAAATTCAGCCGCTAACGAATGAGGGTATTTCCGGGCATCCAATCAAAAAGTCACCCACATAAAAAATGTTCATAACACATATATTTTATAATAAATTTTTGAAATTAGCTCATTTGGTTCAGTAGAAAAATTTTTTTAAGCCCCCAAAGTTTAGGTTCAAAAATGCCCTAAAATGGCTATAAAAGATTTTCTACTCAGCCAAAAAACTTGCCTAATAGCTCATTTTGTAGCCAATTTGGAGTAGTTTCTTAAAGTAAAGCTATCTAAAACAATTTTTCGTTGAAAGTAGGAGAAAGAGGGCAAAGAACAAATTCAGGGCAATTCTCAAATGTGAAAACAGCGACCGAGTTCAACTGAAGTCGTTCCTCGCCCTCTTTCTCCTAGTTTTGAAAAACAAATGTTCAATGTAGCTTTACTTTAAGAAACTACATGAAATTGGCTACAAAATGAGCTATTAGGCAAGTTTTTTGGCTGAGTAGAAAATTTTTTATAGCCATTTTAGGGCATTTTTGAACCTAAACTTTCGGGGCTCAAAAAAAAATTTCTACTGAATCAAATGAGCTAATTTCAAAAATTTATTATAAAATATATGTATTATGAACATTTTTTATGTGGGTGACTTTTTGATTGGATGCCCGGAAATACCCTCATTCGTTAGCGGCTGAATTTCGTAAACGGCTACGACATATATGAGACGTATTATTGTTCAATCTATATAAGATTTAGATTGAATCTAAATCGGACGTCCGATATAGACTGTAATCTAAATCGGACGTCCGCGATAAGTTCAATCTAAATCGGACGGAAATCTAAATCGGACACAACATATATAAAGGAGCAGTGTCTGTCCATCAATCTGCCTGTACGGGCTTTTTCTCGTCTTTGAGCTAAACAAAAACAGAGAACAAAATAGAACTAATATATAATAAATATAATAAATATAATAATAAAAATATAATAAAACTGATGTTTAGGTTTAGAATTTGAGATCTAAAATAAAGAGTATAGTAAAAGTTTTCAAATTCAAATATCCTCGATTTTTCTCCGAACATGTGCTCCTATTTTTTCTCGATTTCTGGTGATGACAAGGGCAAAGTTGTAATCGTATCTTGAAATATTTCGTTTTATTCAAGTTTTATTCAAGTTTATAATATAATATAATATAATATAATATCATATAATATAATATAATATAATATAATATAATATAATATAATATAATATAATATAATATAATATAATATAATATCATATAGGTTTTCTAATCTTTCAAGTATTCAATTCATTTTCTTTGAAAGATTCTATTGGTGAGAGCGCATATTTGGCCAATTTTCCGGAATTTGACGAAAGTAACGAGGGAAACCCTAACAAGCAAATCATTTTTTTTTTTGTAAACAGCTTTTAGCTTTGGCTTTGACTCTAGAAATTGTAAATTTTAATTTAAAAATAAAATTGCTGGTCAGTGAGTAATTTGAATGATGGAGAATGATGAATATTCATTGTTTTGACTCGGAAAATTTTGCTCGTTTAGCCAAGAAGTGTTGTTTTGAGTGAAAATCGAAGTAAAAGAGCTATTTTTGCAAAACTATTTTTACTAAAGAATTGATCTTTGGTTAGCTCGAAAAAAGTTGATGTTTTGACGCGAGAAGCCGTGCGTTTGTGAGCAATGAGCTCTACATGAGCGAGCTACAGCTCTACATGAGCGAGCTGTAGCTCTACTAGAGTTTTTGAAAGTAAAAGGGATTTGTTTCACTTGGCTTTCTGTAACTTTTAAGATTAATGTATTGTTTTTGGATTACTAGAGTACTGTAATTAGTATTGATTTGTAAAGATTACTGTAATTGTTCGAACTATAAAACTATAAACTAGAACCCAAAGGTTTCTATTCTTCAACCTTTCTAGAGAGAAAGTTCGATCAAAATAATCAAATGTTCAGCTTATTGTCTTATTTAATTACACATTTAAAGATATTCAAGCTAATTTGGTATTCTATTTACTATAGCACTCTTTAAAATGGTTATCGGACATTTTATACGCACCCCGCTCCTTTTCCAATTAGCAATCTAACTTTGAACTCAAATATCTTGATGTCGGATTATTCAATTTAAATATTCTTGGTATCATTAGATGCGCCAAGTCTTTTTCTATCAATTGGTACAAAAACTATTTAAATTGGACAGCCCAACACCAAGAGATTTGAGCTTAAAGTTAGATTTCCAATGACATAGGGGGCGGGGCGCGTATCAAATGTCCCATAATCCTCAACTCAAGACTTGTGGCCGGTTGAAATATTCCCAAGCTGTATTGAGACTCGATTTCGATTGTAATCTGTCGGATTTGTTTCATTGGCTATACTGATTGCTTTTCAAAGTTAGATTGCCAATTGGAAAGAGGTAATTGCAAAGATCTAGCAAAAGGCATTCTGTTAGTTAGGAAATAAGAATGCTTATGAAAATTGATGGAAAAGCAATCAGTAGGGTTTTTTGAGGATACTGTAGTTAGAGCGTGAAAAAGAATTCTGGATTGATGGAAAAGCAATCAGTAGGGCTTTTTGAGGATTGAATGAGAAAGCGATTGAATAAACGATAAAGAAGTAAAGGATTATATAAGATTTTGAATATTTATCTTAAATAACAACTTTTCATTTAACAAAGAAAAGGTTGAATGACTCTATCCAGCGACGGAAAGAGGTAGAGGATAGAGATAGGATAGAACAAGGATAGAGATAGAGAATGGAGGAAAAGAGGGAGCTAATTTTATGAGAACTCGAAAACTTTAGACTCAATTAGGGAGAACGATGAGGAACAAAAAAGAAAAATTGAAAAAGAAGGGGAAATTAAAAGAAGAACACTTGGGATATTCATGATAAATTTGAAAGAAATTAGATACGAACCGGTGAGTTGAGACAATTGGAGAATGGCAAAGAATTCTTTGAAATAGCTGAGTTGGAAAGACTAAAAGAAAGACTAATCCTGTTTGTGAGCTTACGATTAATCAGAGGTGAGATTTCTTCAACTTTGCTGAACAAAATGTAGTCCGCTTGACAAATACACTACTGGACAATGAAATATCATATTTGAAAAAAGATCGTCATTTTCGCGCGTCTGTAACTCCCTTGTCTTTACCGTATTTCCAAATATTAATATTACCATTGTGTAGCCCTTGAAAAGAGCTTTCAGAAAATATATAACACTAATAGTTTAAACTCAAAGACAAGGGAGTTACAGACGCGCGAAAGTGACGATCGTTTTTCAAATATCATATTTCATTGTCCAGTACTGTACGTTCTTTAAAAGGTGGCCAATTTGGAGAACTACTGTACTCGCAGATCAAAGGCAGATCGAGGTTTCAATGAGGTAACAAAAAGCCAATGATACTCAATGAATACTTGAATGAAAGCTAGTAAATGTCATGATAAACTTCTGTTACTTAAGATTTTGAATACCTAACTTATAAAAGAATTTTCCATTTAACAATGTTAAATGTTTATCAGTTAAATGATTT